TTCTTCCATCTGTCATTTGCTTATAGTCTCTTTTATTCCCCTCAGCTCTGCTGCCTCTGCATTGGTCTTGCCTCTCTCCCCCTTCAGACTCCCTTGTCCCCCATTCTGTTTTCTATCCTCTTCCCCATTCCAGTCACTTTTTCCACCATGAGAATGGATGTGGGGAGACCAAACTATAGACACTGTGAGGGACCTGAATTGCCAGTGAAATTCGGACCCCTGTGTGTCTCTGGTTGAGCTCCCAAAATCGCTAGTTGCTCGGGGATTCTTGACTCTTATTCTTGTGACAGTAGTAATGCACAAAGTAATAATGGAAGAGTCCCTGCTTATGGGGAAGCCAAGGAACACACAAGGAGCTGAAACACTGCACCCCTGGGCTAGAAAGGCACCGGCACATATCTCAAGAGAAACATCATCAACCAAAGAGGAGCAAATTCTGTAGCCAGAGGGGCAGGATCTGAGAAGTTTGCTCCAGCCCCAGGGAGAGCTGGGTGTTATGGTTCACTCACCTGGCCTCACCCACTGAGGCAACGTGTTTCCATCACCTACAACAGTTTAAGTAACTTGTTTAAGTGGCAGACTCTCAGTTTCCCAGAATAAAAGCAGGTATCTTGGAGTTAAGGAGGATTAATCATTTTAGGTTGATATTTATCAGCTGCTGCAGACTTTGATGTGACCCAGCAATTTTCAGAAAAACCTGCCTGCATTTTAGAGCACTTTGAAAAGAAAAAGCAGGTCATGATGTGGGGTCTGTATCTTGGGATCCCCTGACCCAACAGCTCCAAAGTGCTCCATAAGATGTAAGCGAAGCCCCCCCACAGGCCCACCAGGCATTAACCCCACACCGATGTATCTGGCAAGTTGAAGCCATGAGTTAAGACAACCAAGAGGCTGGCGCCGAAGGCAAAGGGCTCCTGACGTGGCAAAGTTGGACCCTCAGAATGCACCAGACAGTAACCCAATACAGGAATCAGTGGGCCAGGGAGCTAACAGTCTGTTTCCCCCAAGGGACAGTCAGCTGTGGGCAGGGCACAACAGCTGCCAGAGAATGCCCAGCTAGAAAGGCAGCTACAGCGAGGGAGCCAAAGACCAAGGCCAGGCCCAGAAGCCATCAGCTAAGAGAGACGAGAGCAGCAACCTATGTGAGCAATACAGAGGGGACCAGCAGGACCCCAGCCAATGAAGTAAAAGTAGCTATGGGGCAGACACGTGCTCTAACAAGAGCCATGGTACAAACAGGAAGGGGGCACTGGCTCAGACCAGCTCACAGCAGTGTAACAATGGGTGAGTGAGTGGGGCATGAGCCCTGGAGGGTACCCCCATACCCTGCACTTTCCCTGAAGTGGCTCTGACACTAGGGAGGGCAGAGCAGCAGTGGCAGAACGTGGGTGGTGGTTCACCATTGCTGGGGGAGATGTCAGCTCCTTTTTGCTGCCAAATACCAGTGGTTTTTGGGCCTCTTGAAACATGCCAGCATCAAAGAAAGGAGGAGATATGACGTCTATCTCAGCAGCAGCAGACTTTCAGTGTGTACCCTCTGCCCAGGTAACAGTAGTGGCTACATATGCCTCTGCCAGCTCACGTGCAGGAGCTTGAGGCTGCAGTGGGCTGGTGATATAAATGCCATGTCCCTAGGATGGGCTATGTTTGAGTTAGCCCCTGGCTCCAGCAAGTCATCAAGCACTTGAATACAGGATCAACAGCTGTTGAAAGAGATAGCACCAGGCAGGAGACCTGGAGGGAGGGGCATAGACTGTAGGAGGAAACCCTTTGCGGGGATGGAGGGTGGGGGCACCAGCAAGACAGACTGGAGGCTCCTGGCTGGAGTGCTTGTCTGTCCTTGCACATACTTCTCTTGCTAAAGAGAGAGTCCAGCTGCAGAAGGATGGAGTCCTCCCATGTCATTACCCAGCAGGTGGTTATCTGCTTGCACTATGCAGCCAGCTTCAGGTGCTGGTGTCTGGCTAAAGTCTCAGCAGCTCAAAGAAAGCAGCTTAGCATGGGCCCAGGCTATAGTTCTTTCCTAGCAGCAGTCAAAACAAAGCATCGTGCCAACTGGTAGATCTCAAAACGGAGGCACTTTGCAGGGCTGGATCTTGGGAACCCTCCAGTCTTGGTACCACTAACTCTACCCTCTCCCTAACATCCTGTCATTGCTGCACACCCAAGACTTGTGCTCAGGTCGGTGGGGGTCCTACTGCAAGAGCTAGGGGGACCAGTAGATCTAGGCATAATCCTAGATTTGCAGTCCAGCCACACTTACTTAGTGTGAATGTGTATGTGTGGGACCCATCCATGCAGGGGTGTGTGTGTGTGCGTGTGCGCGCGCAGGAATGGAGGAGGGGAGAGGAGGGACTGGAGCAGAAATGAAGAGCCATTCATAAGCACCTTAAATGTGCTTTCAGGCTGTCTCAGGACCTAGGGAGAGCTCTGACTGAGTTCCTCTATGTAGACATTTGGGGCAAGCTGATAGTTCTCTCAGTGCCCAGAAGCTTTGTTTACTGTGTCTCCAATTGCTGCAGAGCTGCAGTGGCCAGTGTAGAGGTTATGTGCAAGGATGGTGGGCAGTTTGCTTAGTGGATGTTACTGCCTTTCTCCAGGGGATTGGGAGAGGGTGAGAATCTGGTATTCCACGTCAAGTGGATCCAAGGCTTTGTGATACTGAACAGCAGTTTCTCTATTGACTGGAGTGGGTTAAGACCGGGCTTTTCACATCACTTTATTATCCTATTGGAGATCCAACCTGGCAAAAATAGATCCTGTGCTTTTATGTCCTGGCAGCTGGTGCCAGGAACAAGTTCTGCCATGTAACAGTCCTTGTCTTGCACCTGCTGCCATGTCTGAGCAGCGTGAGCAGTTAGTTTTACACCTGGGCATAGCTAAAGGGGCAGGGAATGGGCATACCGTGTTTGTGGGCACTGTGGGGAACACGCCTCTGGTGTGTTTTTCTCCTCACACCAACAAAATTAATGGCACTGAAAAGCATGGCATGTCCCAGACAGGGAAGGGCCTTGCACAGCTGGGAGAGGCACGCATAGAGAGCAACATTTTCCAAGATGTGCACCTAGATCAACCTGGCCTGTGATGCTGCCTTGCCTGATGCACCCATCTCAATATGGTCTATGGAAGCCCCTTGGCAGGGGAAGGGTTAAAGCTGAAAGGCACGACACGGAGAGCCTGCTGTGCGTAAGGACTGTGGCTTGTATTATTCATCTGCCAGTCTCCACCCCAAAGTTGGATTATTTAAGCAGAGGAAGGCAGTCAGGGAAGAGGGAGCCAGAGACGAACACAAAGGGGCAGGAGTAACTGGAGCACTTGGGAAGCAGGGGCACTCACCAGCTCTCCCCCTGCGCTGTGGGCACAGCAGCATCGGGCAGCTCCCCAGTGTGGGAGCCATGTCAGCAGTGCCAGCGAGCAGGCTCCTGCAGATGGGGGTGCTGGGCTACTTGCTCCTCTTCTCGTTCATCTCCTTCACCTCCTCGGTCCGGGTGGACTTCACCGAGCACCGGAATAAAGCTGCCAAGATCAAAGTCAACCCCAGGGGCAACCTCTGGGCAACAGGTACTTGCTGCTTTCTCTGGGGGGCACTGCTGCACTCCTGCCGTGGGGAGGGAGCTGAGTGGGTGCAATTCATTGCTACAGCTTCCCCGGGCAGGTGTTTCAGCCTCTTCCCTTCTCAGTGTCCCCCCCCACCCCACTCTCCTGTCCCATTCTTCTGCCCTGGATGCAGCTCACCAGATCTCTGAAGATCTCTTCAGTGGGGATCAGCCCTCACTCCCTATACCACCACAGGGGTTGAATTGCATCTGAGGTGAGGGGGAGTGAGTGACCAAGCCTCTGGGCTTAAGCCTGCACCTAGGATGCTTGCCAATGGATTTGGGAGTATCTGAAGCCCCAGGCTGAACAATCTGGGGTGGAGGATACTTGCTGCTTGTAGCGCCACATATGGGGCTTGAACAATAGAGTGTTGCTCAACTGAGAGGATTCAGAACTGATTTGGCTAATTTGACCTGGAAGAAGAAAATTTTTCAAAAAAAAAAAAAAAAGGGGAGATTGAAGGGGTCTTGGAGAAGAGCACAGCTCTCCTATCCTCCCTCCACTCCTGGCTGCTCCCTGGCCACATTTGGACTTTTAAGGGAACTTTTAATTCGTTGAGGAAACATCCCAGCCTGCTTCAAAAGCCAGGGGCTTTCACTCAAGTCTTAGGCTAATGCAAAGCTACCGGCATCATGTAACTGAACTGATGCAAGGGGCAGGGAAGGCAGCTGGTAGCTGTATGAGGGGGCAAAGACGCATGCCAAGAGGGACTGGACGGAGGCAGAGAGGGAGTTTGTGTCAGTCCATACCCACCCAGAGGTGCTCTGCTCCGATGCTGACCTGATCTCAGACCTGCTGTAGCCTGGCTTTGGAGAGCTGGGGATTAAAACCGAGAACAGGGACCTGTGGAAAATGTAATCCCTTTGCAATTAAGAGTGGAATTGGGAGGGGATGAGGGAGGAGCATCTGGGTGAGAAACCAAGGGCAGCATCTTTGTTGTGCAAATGTTTGCTCTGGCCACAGCTGTGCGGGGAGCAGAAGGATGCGGTGGGAGAGGAAGGGGGCTGAAGGGAGGTTTTGTGATGCTCCAGGATGAGTGGGAAACCTGGCTGAGATGAACAGTCTATGGGGCTGTGGTTTCTGTGGGGCAGGGACTAATCCTTGCCTCTAACAAGTGCACCTGGGTAATGCGTGGAGTTGAGAGTCAGCTTGAATATCCACATAGCACAGGAAAGGAAGGTGCTGCTTGATTTTTGGTTGTAGCCGTGTTGGTCTAAGGACATAGGCAGGTGAGGTTCTTTGAGTAGATGTGATATTTATTTAGTTGGTCTAATAAAAGATATCACATCTACCCAAAGAACCTTGCCTGCCAGGGGCTGCTTCATACAGTTGAGGCTCTCTAGGGCAATGTTTCTCAACCCATGGGTTGTGGCCCAAAAGTGGATTGCAAGAATATATGAAAGGGTTGTGAACAAACTTTAAAAATGGATCAACAAATTTAAAAAATGGATTCTCCTTTTAAAGGAGAAAAATGTGGGAAATGGTACCTTTTTCCCTTGCAGGCTGGCAGAGCTCCAGCCTGCAAGGGGCTGCTTGGAGCTCCCCCCCCCAACACACACATTGGGGGGTTGGGGCTTACGGGTGGGGGGCAGTGGGTCAGAAATTAGGGGCACTGGGTCAGGACTGGCCATTGATGTTTACAAATGGGTCCTGGTAAAAAAAGGTTAAGAGCCACTGCTCTAGAGGCCAACTGGCAGCACCCAGAGGGGAGAGGGAGATGTCTATGGTCACTGTCTCAGTGCTGGGAGCCTCTCAGATGCTGCAAGGCTAGATACCAGCTGTGATGCAGGGAGACAGACACAGAAGTGAGTCCCTTCCATGAACCAACATGCTTGTGCCTTACCCATGCCTTCAGCCAGAAGCTGCCGTGCTGTTTGCTGGGATTTCACTGAGTGCAGAAGCCTGAGTCTTAGTCTGAGGTGGGCCATATTTCACTCCCAGCAAATGCTCTTCTGTTTTGAGGGGTCTCTGACCTGAGGCACTCAGAGAACAAACTGGTCCTGGCATCCCCCGCCTGGGAGGGTCCCCAGGCTGTGGAACAATCCAGCCATGCAATTTGCTGCCTGCAGGGTGCTCAGGTGTTTTGTCTTGCCAATAAAATTAATTCAAGCAAGAGAAAAGGAGAATGTGAGGCAGAGGGGGGCTGAGGCAGCAAGCAGGAGGTGGGAGAAGGCATGAGGGAAGGGAAGGGCCAGACCCAGAGAGGTATTTAAATGCCTAAAATCTCATTGATTTTAATAGGACTTAGATGCCTAAAGAAGTTTATAGATCTGGCCCAAAGTTCCTTGCATCTTGCAGGGAAGAGCTGGAGGGAGGGGTCCATGGGAAGAATGGCCAGCTGTTTTCTGGCAGTCACTCAGCTAAAAGGAAAGGGCCAATATTGCTGACTTCTCAGCCAACATCCTCCCAGTACAGTGTGCCAAACCTGCCCAACACACCCAGCATGTAAAGCTGCCTAGAACTGGGGCATATTGGCTTATGGAGCAAGTAACCTTAGCTAAGAGCAGGTACAGCTACCAGTGCCAGCACTGACTCCAGAGAGCCACAAGGCTAATGATTGAGGGAAGCAGACTTCAGTCTGGGGAAAAAAACTGGAGGTGGGGTGACGATTCATGATAGCAGTTTTCAAATATTTGAAAGGCTGCCAGGAAGAAGAGGGAGGACCAACTGCTCACAGAGGCAGGGTACATGGCAATGGGTTAAATGCAGCAAAGCAGATTGAGATCAAATCTTATGGAGAAGCTTCCCAGCGGCGAGAACTGAGAGGATGGAACAAGCTGCTCAGGGAAGATGTGGAATCTCCTTCACGGGAGGTTCACAAAAAGAGGGTGGATAGACGTCTGTCTAGGATGGTTTAGATACAAGTACATCCTGCAGCTGGGCTGGATGAGGTGACTGTGGAGGTCTCTTCCACCCCCCGCAGCTCTAGGGGAAAGCAGAGGAACAGCAGGACTACCTGCCAATGCTGAAATATCCTGAGCCGTGTCCTGGCTACTGATCTGTGCCTTTAAAATCTGTTGTTCTGGCACCTTTGAGAAGACTGTGAAACGTATTTTATTAATAGTGCTATCTGAAGCTGAGCAAGCAAGGGAGGGGAAAGTGTGAGGGGAAGGTGGCTGTCAGGAAAGCAACTGTGAATTTCCGTACAGACCAGAAGCATGAGCAGAGCTGGAGGGGGCTGAGGACTTGAATTTTCCTCTAGTTGAGAAGGGAGTCCAGCCAGGCTCAGGTGGAGGAAAATAGGCTCTTCCAGGAACCTGAGCTCCCTTCAAGTAACACCACCATCACTGTTGTTCTTTGGGGAGCAGGCTGACTGCTTTCCAGCGGGACTCTGTATTGTAGGAGTGATGCTTGTATCAGCTCAGGGGTGAGACCTGTGCCCTGTGTCACTGGGAGCCCACCCATGGTGAGGTGGTTAGCAGGAGGAAAAATAAATCATCTGGAAACCAAGCATCAACAACCATAGAGCAAGTCTCTGTCTCTCTCTGTGCTGGTGCTCTGACAGGGGACTCCATCACCTGCATCAGCCTCTGAAGGGCCAGATATTTCGGACTCACTTGTTCTGAAATAGGAAATTCACTCCTTCCAAAATGCCTGGGTGCAGCTTTAACCCCGCAGACTTTTGGCATCTGGGAAAACACCTCTGGCCATCATTAGCTTCCTTTCTACTAGCTCTCCTCAGCCAATGGTAGGATGGTGCTACCAGATCTGGTTTCCAAGGAATCCCATGGCAGTGAAAGGAGAGTGACATTAGAGTCCCGTTCATGGCAGGGTGCTGTTGACTCCTACCTTAGATCTTGCTGACAGAGCAAGGGTCTCCTGAATGTCTGCCCCCTCCATCATATAAAGAGGTGCATTATGTGATTGCAGGTCACTTCATGGGAAAGAAGAGTATCTCAGGCCCTTCACACCTGGAGTCTCCAGAGGATGCTGCCATAAGCTCTGTCCCAATGGCCTTCAGCCCATCCCTCCGAGCCATCCTGGAGGACATGAAGGAGCTGCTTACCAGGGAACTCCTGAAAATCCTCTTGCAAGAGAGATTATTAGATGAGAACCAAGGAAAGCACAATCTTGCTGACCAGGTGAGCACTGAAGAAGCCATGGGAGGGAGAGAGATCAGAATGAGAGAAGATGGCAGGCAGCAAGGGGGAAGTTCAGGGCCAGACCAGGATCCCCCCACCCTTAGATGGTCACATAGTGTGTCCCCCAGGAAACCCCCCAAGGTGGGCTGGAGGAGGTACCCTCACGTCCTCCTTTGGAAGGGGAAGGACCCTACACTGGAGAGAATGCAGCTCCCCACGCCCTACCAATCCCACAGGGGAGGAAGCCCCTGTTTCCAAAGAGGGACTGTGACTCCATTCCCCTGCCACTGTCCTTGCAGCCGGGTTGCCTTGGTTGGAGCACCCCGCTCCTCCTGGGACTCGGTGGGCATTCATGTGGAGGCAGCAGGAACACTGGCTTCAGTTTCTGAATGGGAATCCCTGGGTGGGCAGTGTGAATGCCACAAAAATGGGTTGCCTCTCCACTTCCATGAGGCCTTGGTGGTCGAAGAGCTTTCATTTGGTCCCAAGCATTTATAGGACAAAGGCTGCAGCCTTGTCCCCTCTGCCACCCATGAGAAAGTCCCCTGACTCTGTCCCCTCTGTTCCTGGAAACAGTGGGGACACACTAGCCTGTGGCAACTAGAGAAGAAAAATCCCTCTGAGGTATTGGCAGCCCCTGCCAGAGGTCTGTCTGCATCAGTGACAGTGCTGAGGTGTCACATCACAGAGGAGGAAGGAAGGGGCCCCTCACATCCGTGGCACTGGGATTCTGCATGTGGGTTGTCAGTCTCCTACCCCAGACACACACAAAGCAGGACAATTTGGATGAACTGGTGAGGTGAGCAGAGGAGGAATGAGTTCATGGCAAGTTGCTCAGCTAAGGTAATGGGCTAATTCAAGAGAAGTTAATCCTGGGAAATTTCAAATTGCATTCTGGGACACTAGGAGAATTGAGGGAGAAGAGGTCAAACTCCTATAGTTCCCTGTGGAACTCCCATAATTCCCTTGCATAGTTCCCATGGGTCTCCCCTGGTCTCTTGTCCTAACCCTCTTATCATGAAGGCTGGCATGAAGGTTTGAAGGAAAGGTCTCTGCTGGAGCCTGATGAGCTAGCAAAGATGGAAAGACAGGCAAGTAGCTCACAAAGCCCATTGTGAAGGCTAAGTGCTGTACTTATGCCACTTCTGGATCATCGACCATGCCCACAGATGTCTGGAGACATGGAGCAAATTAGCTGCAAAACTCCAGCATGAGGAGGGAGGTGTTTGTCATCCCACTGGGCCCAGGTCACCTTGGCACTGCAGCACCAGCACACACAAAGATGTGTGTTCCTGTCATTATGATGGTCACAGGCAACCTGCTGTTCATGGGAACATGGGTGAGTAGCATGGGGATACGAAGATCCTCAGGGCATAATGATGTGCAGCTCTAACTTGAAAATCTGATGCAGCGGCTGATGGGAAGCCAAAAAAGAGATTTGACGAGAGTCACGATAGGACCAAACTGACAGTCATAGCTGCCCTCTGTATGGACAGAGGACATGGTCTCAGATACACCCTCAGCATGGACAGTCATCTGGAGCTGGAGGGCAGCGTTTGTGGAGTCACAACCAGTGACGGTGGTAGTGACTGTGACCTCCACCTGCTTCATTTCATTGGATCCATGGCTGCTTGTCACCCCCATCTCCTCCTCCATGCCTCTCACCTGTTTTAGATTCACACAAAATTGCAGTGCAAACAGAGTGGATTATTCCATGTTTTCCCAGATCTCTGCTCAGGATGTTAGGCTTAGCTCTGGATTTGTGGGATCTTGGGGGGGGGGGGTTCTGAAAAGTTGCTAAGCGTTCACATTCAGTGCTCCCACAGTGGTGCTGTCAGGGCATAGTTTCCCCATGATTTGATTAATTCCCTGTCAGTCTCAGTATAGTTTCCTGGTCTGATTTCTGCCCTAAAGTAATAACTGTACCTCTTGAAGGCCAAGATTCTGGGGTCACCATCTCCTCTGAACTATTTGCTTTGACCAGGCCAAACAGCCAGGCTGCATTATGTTATTTCAGCACAATACTGAGGGATGCTGCTTAAACTTCCTATGCTCATTCCAATGGTTTTATCAGAAATGCTCAGGAATTGGTGCCTCATGAGTGGTTGTTGCTTTGATCTCTGTGCTCGTTCAGATTAGCTCAGATGCCAACATGAGATTCTTGTAAATAACTGATAGTGGGGACCATGTCACCTGGTAATCATATAAAAACTTTGCGCAGGGTTTGTGGCTCCAAGTCTTGGCAGGAAGAGAGGTAGTAGAAGGCAGTGGTTGTTGGGCACTCCAGGTGGGACATACCCTTTATTGAGAGCACATCTGGGGTATGCCTGTTAGGAATGATGTCTAGGTAGGTAACAGCAGTGGGAAAGCTCTCATTTTTTATCGCCTGTCTTTGAGTTCCTCAAACCTGTGCAAGTTTTAGAGTTTTGTCTTAACAGTTTTTTTTCACACCAAGATCCATTGCTTCCTGTAGGTTGTGTCTTCCCAATGCTGCCATGGCCAGGCTAATTGTCAGATGGCAGAGTGTAGTTCATGCTGTGTTCAGGGCCTTCAAAAGCAGTCACAGTGGCCAGAGTCCTTCCCCTGGGAAGCGCCTTGCATCAGTTATGCTGAGGAACTTGTTAAGTTCCCTGTTACAGGCAGTCCTTAGACTTGCAACACAATTGGTTCCTGAAAACTGTGTCTTAAGTCAAAGTGTTGTAACTCAGAACCAATTTTCCCATAGGAAACAGTGTTATAAATGGGCGATTCGTTCCTGAACCAAGGCCTGATACCCTATTTTCACCAAAAATAACCCAGAATTTTGTACACAGTCAATTATAGATGAGCAATATAGCTACATTAATGTATTTATATTGTAAATAGCAATCATATTGATTTGGAAGGACTTCTTTGAGGTGACTTTGCTGGACTTTTTATGGGCTCTTGGTTGGGCTTTTTGAAGGGTTCTTGGCTGGAGTCTTCTCAGGAGTCTTGGCTGCAGGTTTTTCTGGAGTCTTATCTGCTTTCTTAAAGAAAGCGTCCAAGGAAGTTTGGACAGATGTTCTCCAGGGAGATGGGTGATGCAGTGAACTTGTTCACTGGCGTGGCGTTGTGTCAGAGCAAGCATTGTAAAGTTGAAACTGATGCCAGAAAGTTGAAACAGGGTGTCAGTTTATAAATGTTGTAAGTGTGAAATGTTGTAACTTGAAAAGTTGTAAGTCGAGGACCGCCTGTACTGACTCCCTGCACAAATGGGCCTTCTGATCATTTTTCTGGGGCTGTCCCAATCCCACTGAAGCCTTATGGGATTTTTCTGTTGACTTCAGTGGTTTTCAAATGAGACCACTGAAGTGGAAGGCTAGCTCTGTGGGCTGGCTATAAATCCAGCCAACTTCCCATGCATTTATTTTGTCTCAGGAATAAGAACAAAGGTGCAGTAGGGTGGCTCATGAGATGAGTCATATCCAAGACAGCTGTGTGTGTAGATTTTAGCACTTTTTAAACTTTCTCTCTTTACTTGGGAGCTTAGCTCAGGCTTAAATCTGGAGATACAAAGGCATCCCTATAATGATGGCAGGAAACAAGACCCATCAGTCCCCAGGTCCCCCAGCTTGTTCTCAACTTAATACTTGTCTCTTACATTAGAAGCTTCCTGTGCTTTGTACTACACTGAGCAAAATACTGACATTTGCCAAATAACAATGGAGATTATAATGGGGGTGTCCAAACTGTGGGTTGGATCAGGTGTGTGGAGCTGTTTCACCCACCTCTTGGAGCTCCTAGAAGGACCCAGAATTTAGGGGTGGTGTGAGCAGGGTCAGGGCCCACTGCCAGATTCCCATCAAGTGGGAACACTGTGGGTGGCAGAGGACAGCTGGGAGCAAGCAATGGTTGCGTTAACCTCTATGTTGCTACCTTTGCTTGCCTTGCTGATGTTGGGTCCAGATCCTGGGTCTGGATCAAGCCCAGAAGGAGCCCTGCAATCTGGATCTGTCCCAGGGGTCTGCATGAGTTTGATACCCTTGGCTTATAGGAAAGAGGAATTGTGTGTACCCCTTTAGGTAGTGTGTGAGCCTCCATATGGCCCTCACTTGGTCCTGCAGTTCTGAAGCCACAGGAACCCTGCTTAGAACAGCAGTGTCAATGTAGACGGCCTTGACAGTCTTATGTAATTAATTCTTGGTTATTTGTGTGGTGAAGGTAGGAATTTGGGTAGTAGGAAACCAGGTTTCCCAAGTGTGTTGTATGGGGGGGACAGGAGAAGGCTCTGAAATAAATTAGAGCCAAGTTTGGCTGACAGCCCTGGAGCCCAGACTGGTTACATGCATATGTAAGTAGTTTACAGTACCCGTTGCAGTGTGTAATGTCCATTAAAGTGTCTGGTATTTTGCCAGTGCAGGTGTGTCAGATAGGAACTGAAAATGCTAACAGAGAACTGAGGAAATGGATCAGCATTTCCTTAGGGGAAATTAGTGTTTGAAAGAAATGCAGCAGAAACCGAAAGACAACAGCCGTGGGCACCCACTGAGACTGGGCTAGAACAGTAGTCATGCCAATACTGGCCGAGCCACCACACTCAGTGGCCTGGCCACTGCTGCCAGCCAGGGCACAGAAACTGGTTGTTATACCCCTGAGATGCAAACAGCTTTATTTCTTCCTGTGGCATATGAAGAAGCAGTAGCAGGAATTTACACTGTTCAGCTTGAGAATGTAGCAGCTAAAGAAATACCAGACTTCATGGTAAAGTTTGAGGTTTGCTGTGATCCAAGGAAAAATAAGATATTAGAGATATATATTCCTCACAAGAAGAAAGGCAGGGAGGGAAAATATAGACCAGTATGTGACTAAGAACAGGCAGCACAACCATGTCATCTTGGGGAGCTGTGTGAATCCCCCATTACAGTGTGCATTATGTGGGGTATTTCATCACATGCCCTATTGCAGATACAGATGAACACTTGCAAGACCAGTTTCTAGACAGGCTGAGTGCTGAGTCTTCTATGGATGAGTGCAAAGTGAACCAGCTCATTTAATGAGCACAAAGTAGTGAGTTTTAAAACTGATACAAGAACAAAGGCCAATGTAATGTCTCTGAAATTATATAGCACTTCACGAGACTGAGCCACTTCATAGCTTGAGGGTTCAGTTAATAATCTTTCAACCTGCCTAGGAGAAAGATTTCAAGTTTGTGATAAATGCAAGTTACACAGTGAATGTTGAGATAAAAAAGCAGGACTGGAGTTTTAGTGGTGGAATTGGACTCACAAGTCATACTGGGCTTACCAGGTGGTTTGCATTCAGTGTCCAGAGGCAATTTGATAAAGAGATAAGGCAGAGATGATCAGGAATAGATACATAGAATACAGAATGTATCTGATGGCTTAGGGTGCTTGCCTGATGAACACACAACAAAGATAAGCTCACAAGTATAACCTGTAATGCATATGCCTTGTAAAATCCCCATAGCACTAAGGGATATGGTTAAAAAGAATTGCGTCATATGGAACCATTGCAAGTTATAAACACAGTGTAAGAACCTGAGAGTGGATCAATTCTGTAGTGACTGTAAACAATGACTTATACCAGTGACATGGTATAAGAATATGCTCAGATCTTAGAGATTTGAACAATGCAACATTGAAGGGAACATGTTTCCATTGCCTTCAGATGAAGAAATCACTAGAGCATTAACAAAAGCTAAAGTTTGCACTGTCTTAGATGCCAATAGTGGGTTGTACCACTGGATGACAAAAGGTCAAGACTTTATATAGTTAAAACACTATATGGCTGGTACAAGTCTGCTCAAGATCCTTTGGGCATCTGTTCAGCTCCTGAAGCATATCAGAGATTGATATGACAATTGTCTGAAGGCCTAGAAGACACTGAATGTTATTTAGATAAAATACTGGTGTAAAGAAATAGCAGATGAGATTATGATAAGGCTTAGGAGCATTTGGACACGTTGTGAAAGGAAACTGTGACTGAATAAGAACAAATGCCAGGTGGCTCTGACAGATGTTGCTTCACAAAAGAACTGATAACTCGCAACTTGCTGCAGAACAGAGAAGGCCACAGCAGCTCAAGGCTGAATTATAAAGATTCCTTCTTGGCTGTCCAGTGGCTGGCTTCAAGAAGAGAGCTGATGCTCTGGATAATGCATGGCTCATAGCTTGGTGCTTAAAACACTTTGCTGGGAAATGAGGGGTGCATACTCATACTCCTCTGGGTTGAGGGGTGGTGAGAACCTAGCTCTCTTCCTCCCTGGGTTCTCCTCCTCCCATGCCCCAATGACTAGGCTCTGGGGCTAAAAGGTAGGATGGCTCCCTGGCTCTACTCAATTCAGACAGGTGGAGGGCCCTTGGCCACAATGTGTTTGAACTCAGTTTATTTCTTGCACAGATTCCCTGAGCCTGCTGCAGTTCCCCACTAGCTTTCCTAGCTCTCTCCAATGACACAGCAGTTTCTAGTGGGTGTTTTGGGTGAAATTAGCCGGATTTCTTTATTTGAAATGCTACACACTTGTCACTTTCTTAAATCCCCAATGCTTTCCAGGCTGGCCATGTTTCATGAATTCCTTCAACCAGCCACAGTTTCAGGAATGGTTGATTTTTGTGGGTTGATTGTTTATAATAGTGAAAAGCCTTGGCTTTGCAGTTAGGGAATTCTTTCTCATCTGCTTCAACAGGTGTGTTAAGTAATGTATTGGATTAATAAAACCTTAGCATCCCACCCTTAGTAAATACAGCCAGCTTCTTCTCATCAGTTCTTCTATAGAACTGTGTACAGAAAGTTTGTATTTCCTCAGGCTTCTGAGCTTTGCTGGTTGCCACATGGGGCCAGGAAGGAATTTTTTCTGTGCCTGTTGCTACAGGTGTCAAGGTTGTGTTTTTTTACCCTCTTCAGAAGCACTGGGTGTTGGCTGCAGCCAAGGCTAGGGATTTTAATTGGGGTTTGCTGATGCTCCTGTTGGAATGAAAACCCAGAGGTTCCTAGTTAAAGCATGTTGCAGTGCTGCTCAGGGGCAGACTGATCATCACATTTGGGATCAGGATAGAATTTACCCAGGGTCAGAACTGCATGGGCTGCAGGGGGTTTTGTCTTCTCGGTAGTGGGGGGGCATGGCCCTCTTTCTGGCTCTCCCAAGTGTATTTAACAACCCATCCAGTGGCACCATATTGCCAGTGCCCTCATACAGGTATGAGGGCACCGACAGGTTCGAGTGTTCCTGATGTCTTTGGGCATTGTGTCTTGTAGTTGTGTGACAGGGCTGCCTGTGTAGGTTTAGGAAGAGGTTAGACGAGCACTTGTCTGGGATGGTTTGGACAGTGATGGGCTTGTCTTGAGCCAAGGGTTGGACTAAACAATCTCCAGAGGTCCTTTCCAGCCCTATTTTTCCATGATGTTATGAATAGCCATTGTCTTATTTTCCAGCCTCTCCATATAGGGGACTGCACCTGTATGGAGCTGTTCAATGAGCCCCTTTTTCCCAAACAGCAAGACATTTTTAACCCCTTTCCTTTTTTCTTTCTTTCTTTTCCTCCAAAAGGGCAGATTACTCACTCCCAGCCCTGGTGCTGCAGCCTGCAGGTTAGTTGGACTTTTCCCAATACCTCTGCAGCCTCTCTGTTTTGCCAGTTTTCAGGATTAGGAGTCTACCCTTCTCACCAATCGGTGTGTCTTTTGTGCTTTGCACTTCAAAATTGTTTGAAGGGGCAGGTCAGAAGGTGATCCTGGTCCATAGGGCTTGAAGCACACCAGTGTTGGTAGCCAACAGCACACAAGAATATGACAGATGACATTGTATCCATGTCTTTGACTTGTCTGCCAGAACGGCCATCTACCCATTGACAGCTGGGCCTCCCAGTTTGGATACCCGTCTGTAGCAGGGTTTGAACTCAGCCCTCTGAAGCTTTAACAGGTCCGCCACCCTGCCTTATTAAGGGGGTACAAATAGCCAAGTTTAACCATGTGTGTACAGCCTGAACTCCAGCTCTGTAGAGCCACTGCTGCTCTGGGGATGGGGTCTGAAACATAGACCCTAGTGAGGGCTACTAGGAGGATGGCAGACTGTTTAAAGGAACACTACCTCCATCCTCTGCATTACTGAGATGCTTCAGCTGACAGCATCAGCCTCTGTGGGGATGTGGATGCCTTGATGGAATTGTCCAGCATCTGGGGCCCAAATCTAGGAAATGCCTGAATCTTGCTCCCTTTAGGGATGATGATTGCATGCTCCCTCCACAGCTGCCTTTCCTCAAACATTGTGCCAGACAGTATTTCACCTGGAGACAGATAGATGGAAACATGCCCAGGCAGGTTGAATGACTGAGAGGAATGTGAACGATGTGCATATGGAAAGGGCTGCATGCATATGGACAGTAGATGTGGCTGAACCAGGCAGGTGGGAAGCAGTCCTTGCAAAACCGTTGCTGGAGTTTTCTGTGGGTTCCTCCCCCACTCCCTCCTCCCTTGTTTCAGTTCCCCGGTTAGTGACTGGGTGACCAGAGCCTGGCAAATCACAATGCGAAGCTTCTCTTGTGCTCGCAGTCGCTGAAAGCTGACAGGTGCAGCTGGCATCACGTCATTGCGGGCATATGTGGGCGGGGTGGGGGGAAATCTATCCCTGCTTGGGTCTGTGGGGACCTGCTACATGGCCTGGAAGAAGCACTGAATCCCTTGGGAACTGATGAAAGCTCTGATCTGCCCCAGTTTGTGCCAGGCCATTTCATTCTATGCCCTGTGTGTGGTACCCAGGGGATGCAGTGGCACCCTGCCTGCTTGCTCTGTAGCCCAGGGCTGGTAGGATCCAGCACAGGAGATGCTGAAACAATGCCATGATTAGGATTAACATGAGACCCTGGCAAGTCTTACTGTGGCTTTCTCATTCCAGGAGACGGGGTTGCTAATGAAGGTGCTGGAGAAATATCTTTCAAACTGAGGAGGACCGGTGGCCGCCATCAACATGGAGGACTTGGGCCAGTGCCCCCGACGGTCTCACTAGTTTACAGGGAATGCCCAAGGGCATTCCCCTTGCGGTGTACTGTGGCTGCGTCATTTTTTGGTTATTTATTCTTACTGTAATATTGTTCCCAGAGAGTGCCTGGGGGACAAATCCAGCACTTTCTATATATTCCCCTCCCTTCCCCACTGTGGATTCTGCATCATTGACGTTTAAAGAGCCCCTGTGAATAAAACCAACTCTTTGCACAGCATGGGCGAGCCCTTGCCTTGGAGTCTCAGGGCAAAGGCTGGAGCAACGAGCTACTTCAAAACAGCCAGAGCCTTGGGTACAGATGGGATTGGTGCAGGGGCTTTGCAGGTATCCTGGCCTTTATCAGGGAGGGAGAGGCGATGTGAGAGGGGCCTACTGAATACTGGCAGGGAGGGAGGGTCTTTAAATGTGGATGAGGGATTGTTGCTGGTATATGGCCATGAGATCGAACAGCAGCTGGGCAGAGAGGAGCCTGCCATATTGGACAGGGCTGTGCGGACTCCCCGGCTGCACCCTCCAGCCCAGCAGTGAACAAACAGCAGGTGGCAGCAGCTCCCAGAGAAAGAGCAGCTGCAGCAGCTAGGCGCCCTGTCAGCATCTGGGTGTGCTGGAGCTTGAATCGTGGATCTGCCACATGGGGCCAAACCCATTTCCCTGTAGAACTATCCTTGTCCTGTGTGTGTATCTGCTGGAAGTGAAACAGGGGAGGATGCTCCTGCCTCTCAGCCAGCAGCAGAGCAGTCGGCCCAGGGAGCAGAAGACCTGGGTTCCAGACCCCATCCACACCGGGGGTTTAGTGTTGCAGCTTCGGTTTGCCATCAGTGTGTCTGAACCACTAGGCCACAGGTTAGGCATTGGCCCCCTCTCCAGCCCTGAAGCTAGCCACCCACACTTGCATTTAATAACTGTTGGATAAAATGGATGGAAAGAAATGTGAAAGGTGCTACTCCATTGGGAGCCTGGGTCTAGGCTAGAACCTATCACCTCCAAGTATGGCCTGTATCTCAGTGAGCCACACATCCCCCAGTGCCTATACTTCTTGGTGCCATGCACTGTCCTCTCTTGGCTGCCTAGTGAGCCTGCTTCAAGAGGAAGGCTGAAGAAGGGGCTTAGCCAGTGGCCTGGTTGTTCAAGCATACTGAGAAATAGGAGCAGCAGGTTCCATCCCCCTCTGGGTAAAGGGTGCACCTAGAGCCTATGTCTGCTGCACAAATGCCTGAGCCCCTAGGCTGAAGTATAGGAGGGCCTGTCTCCTCTAGCATCTGCCAGCTGTGGAGTCTCTGCGACTAACACTTCAAGCCTTACCTGACCTATGATGCATAGGTGTGTACAGGCTTGGGCACCCACAGAGCTGGGTTTCAAACCATGCTTAGCTGTAGTTACCCAACTGCCTATGTACCAATTAAATGGGATTTTGCCTACAGTGCCCACTTGCTACGACCCACAGGCTGCAGGCCTGGAGAGTCCTAGACACTGCTTTTACATGGGAAATGCTTCCCAGAAAAGCAATGAGGAAAAGGCCCTACCCAGGGACCTTGGGTGGTTGAAGCTGGAATAGCTTCGGGGCTGGAGAGAGGCAAGTAATTTATGGAAAGTTCATGCAGGGAGTAGGCATGAATGGAGGCCACCCGAAGTGCACGATAGAGCACAGCCCCACGAACAGGCTCCGGTT